TTGATATATATATATATAATCTGAATCTCGGAAACGGCTCCAACGATTTTCATAAAGTTTAGTATACAGGGGATTTCGGGGGCGATAAATCGATCTAGCTACGATTTATTTTCAGAAAATGTTGTTTTCTTCGTGTTTTCAATAATCAACTCTTCCCGACATCTATTGGCGAATAATAATACTATTTTTCTTAATTGAGGGCAACTAACCGCTTTAAAGACACAACAAGATGGCGTTATTAAAAAAAAAAACCAAGCAAAGCTCGGTCATCAACTAGTGTAGTATTAAATATATCGCGTTTGTAAAAAATGTGTTGCTAGTTCAAATAATCGTCAATCGGAAACGGCACGACTGGGTTATTGTGTTGTGGGTTTTATAATTTAATTATATCGATTACTTATCGATAAGTCATTATAATAGACTGGATGCGGATAGCATATCGGCCATAGCAGGATCGGTACTAATTGCAAACTTCAGGGACTGTTGACTGATTTATGGCTGATGATGATCGAGACGTGGGCATTTTTAATTATGTTATGTGCTTGACACACTTCACTTGACTTGTACATAAAGAAACGCTACCTGAAAGGCAATTCAAAGGCAGTACAATGTATATAAATAAAATAGCCTATGTAATACTAAAATTGCAATGTAAGATGAACACGATAAAGTCCTTACGCGAAATTACATATTTACATTCGTCTAACTTCTGAAACCGTGTAACTCAAGCCTTTGTTGTATAGTTTTATTCGTAATAATAAAATAAGAAATAAATTTATTTATGCATCACTTACGTGTCAAGGCAATACTCGTAGGTATGTGAATTAGTTAATGAGCTCGGATTCGTTCGATTATTTTTGTACGTTGTATAATATATTTTTTTTGTATGAACGACGGTTGCCGGCTTACATTAGGGCAAACTTAGGAAATAAACGTGTACATATGTGGGGAGTGTTATTTTTATTACGTTTTTTCATATATTTTTTTGGGTATTTATTTTTGCCTGTTGCAATGGCAACATTCTATTAGGTTCAGAAAGAGATATCAGTTTAAGGTTAGAGAGGGTAGGTCGAAAAAGTAAAAGTTTTAGAAAGACGTGTATGAAGTGATTGTGAAGTAAAATAATTTCGCTATATTCATCCCACTTTTACTCATGAACGATCCCACCTACATATAGTCCTTTTGATTATTTACCGACTCAAGTACGAAGCCGGTCTTATTGTAGACATTGACAAGACAATGGGTAGCCAAGAATAGATAGCGAATCAGAGGCAGACCGAAAATAAGCCGGGAACCAAAGATACATATAGCTACTTTTATACGTTTTTATGTGTGTATCTATGTCATAACATACAGATAAATAGCAAACAAACCTGTTGATTGGGTACATTAATTTTTGCGTGATGCAGGAATGGAACACTCAATCTAAGTAGGTATTGGTAGGTAGGTATCCAATGACCGGACTTGGCTTTTGTACGGACAGGTCTTTGGGAGGCATTTATGAGGAGCAACCGAAATGACTACATTAGCCCGATGTCGAGAATACGATGCACCAGATTTATTATAGGTCTTTGTATTCGTAATTGCGTGCTAGTTAATATGTGGATGTCGACTATTCGGTCTGAAGCGCGCGCTCTCATTTGAAATACGAGTATAAGACAGTACAGTTTTCATGACGTGTTTTGTTCGGTTAGACGTGTTAGCTTATGATCTACCCAGTGCTAAGTTACAGGATCGCGTAGGTATCACCACATGAATCATCATCTCGAGATACTAAGTCTAGGAAAGTGTAACCCGGAATGTCTGCAGTAGATTTGGGCCGGTGCTTACACTAGCAACGATTTCGGCATAGGATAATATTAAGAATTTATAGTCGATTGTTTTTTCATTAATATGCAAGATGTAGATCGACACTTCGAGCTCTAGTCTGTTGGCTCCGGTAACCGCTTCACACCGGAAGAGCCGTGGTAAAAGCTATGTTGGATGTAAAAAAAATCAACGGCAAATTTTTGTAACTGTCCTAATGGGTTTTGCAATTTGCATTTGTTTGAATTTTAAACAACATGGTTCCGATTTTTTTTGTTTTTTTTTATTGCCCTTTTAGGCAGACGAGCATACGGCCCACCTGATGGTGAGTGGTTATCGTCGCCCATGGACTTCAGCAATGCCAGGGGTAGAGCAAAGCCGCTGCCTAAAATCTATTTCTAAAAATTTCATTAATAGGCTGTAAAAACCGGTCTTTAGCGTTTATTTTTCTTTTATCATTGAATGGTGTTTCCCAGTATACTCCCAGCGACAGACAGTCAAACGTTAAATTTGTAACAGTAGATTCCAATATGTTTTACATTTTAATGTATTATTCAGTTTTGCAGCGTTATAGTAGGTGGACATAAATTATGGCGCGTAGACGGCTGCTTGAAGTTTCCAATGTCAAAATGACAACAGAAAATCACCTATTAACAATGCAATAGAAAAACGTTTTTAATGTCTAAAAGTTTAAATAAGTAGGCACAGGAGTTCAATCGGGCTGCGTGGTTTTTTTTGTAGGCACAAGGAATAACTCATCCGCCGTCTGCCGTCAAGAATTTGCTGCCGTACTGTAGTACTTCTTAAATGTATCGCAAAACATTTAATACTGTATATTGGTGTCAACTATTTCTGTCATGAAACACTCACCAGTTTGAAAAGCGTGCACGAAGGTCATAATTGCAATATATATTTGAGACTATAACATATTTTTTTAAGATATATGAGGTCCGATGATCAGTTGATTACAGACGGATTTCGAGCTCGTCTGCTCATATTAGCAATTAAATCTTTCAATTTTAATGTATTTTAGGGCGTAGCTCTCCTCTTGTTTTCATAAAAGATTACATTCTTAATAGGGGAGGCCCTTAAATATACGTACTGCTTCAGTTTTTAACATTTTTGGATTTTAATGGTTTTTGTAAGTGACAGCGAAGTGATTTTCGCTTTAATCTATATATTTCGGCGGATCATAGTTGTACATAAAGCCACTCGCAACGCTTTCCATACGCATTGATATAGTCTGTGGCAGAGACAGAGATCCCGCCAAAACCGGGACCGCGGGAACGCGAGGAGTGAAGTTGTGTGATTTGTTTTATTTTGTCTATTTCGTGTTTCTTCAGGTTTAAATGTGTAATAGCGGTGGTTTATTAACTGTTTAGTATCTGTTAAAGTACATCTCATCTCATTTCACTTCATATTATCATTTTTCATTAAATTAAGAATATAAATTAAAATATAATAAGACTTGACCTAAAGGTCTTAGTTACCAGGTCATAAAATCCCTTAAAAAATCCCGCCAAAAATTAAACGTAAAATTACACTCTTATTATCATTTTAATTGTAAGATGTTGTACATTACAATTATAATTAATAATTTACGTTCAATACAAATTCCAATTACGTTGTTTAACTAAACGTCAGCGTGTATGTACCTAGTGCGCGGATTGCTTACAATATTTTTTTTTCTAAATATATTCACTGTATATTAAACTATGATAGTTCGGAGTACCTTTGCAATTTGCTTGACCTTATTGTTTCAAAGTTTTGTAAATATATTTATAAATTAAATTTACTGTTCAGCGTATCTAATTCTATTACCTATCTATATTATCTATTCTTTATTTTATATAATCTATTATCTATTCTAAGCCGTTCTGGGGTTCACCTATGAAAAAATAAGGATATATATTTGTAAGCTTTGAAATCACAGTTGACACACCGATGTTAAGTTTAATGTCTAAAGTGCGTCGTATGCTCTTAAAACAAATCATATTATAATCATGAAAAAAAAAAACTTTACTTATCTTAATGTTTAATATTTCGTAACAATTGCACGGCTATACATATTTTATTATGTAGTATCATATTTAGTATACTAAGACTTAATGTAATTATGTGATTTCTAGATTATTATTTACCCTTAAAAAAAAATATTGCATTTTTATGCAGACGAGCATACCGCGCACCTGATGGTGAGTGGCTACCGTAGCCCATGGACTTCAGCAATGAAACAAGAACAATGCCTAATTTCTGACTTCTCGAATATTTTAGTGTTTCGTGGTCACGGACGAAGAAAGTGTAACAGAAGTCGAGTTCCACTAACGTCGAATAATTTGTAAAAGTTATTCACTGACGTTTTTGTTTCTTTGCACAAACTAGCTGCTACTTGATAACTAGAAGATTTTTTCTTTTTTTTATATAAATACATATTAATATTTGAATGATTTTAAAAATACCGTCTTTTGGTACGTACAATGACGAATGTGAAATCAGGTCATTATTGTGCGGACATTTACTGGTTGTAGGACCTCTTGTGTGTCCACGCAGGGACCACCACCCTGCCTATTTCTGCCGTAAAGCAGTAATGCGTTTCGGTTTAAAAGGTGGAGCAGCCGTTGTAACTATACTTGAGACCTTAGAACTTATATCTCAAGTTGGGTGGCGCATTTACGTTGTAGATGTCTATCGGCTCCAGTAACCACTTAACACCAGGTGGGCTGTGAGCTTGTCCACCCATATAAGCAATAAATTAAAAAAAACACACACACACACAAAATATGTTTTCATTTAACGAATAATCCTTGTCATGCTTGTTTCTGTACCAGTCGCTAAGTGTCTGCATTGCATAATATTATATTTAGACGGTATAGGTACCATACTATGATTTTATTATGACAGAAATCTTGCCAACAGCAGAAATGCCAACAGGGACTGAAATTTCATTACACAATCAGACCAATGACATTCGAACGGATATAACGTGAACATACATACAATAATAACTAATCGATCTGTAGTACGCTTTAAGCGTATAAAAGTATTCAAATAAAGTTTAAATTACTTATTTGATTACCGTTGATTCTTGCAAACGTGTATTAAAAACTTATACTATGTTAAGTGATGTACAATTGAAAATCAAATTCGAAGTTTGAAAGGCAGTTCCAAAGCTCAAATAGAATGTTTGGTTACAGCAACAAAGCGAGCGGTACATATCGTCATACGAAGGCGGCGGGGACCTATCTCCGGTGGCGCCGGCTACGTCACCCGGGTCCCCTCGCGACTGCACGTCGTGTAGGAAACGCGAGCCCCCAGACGAGCCGGCCCAGCCTCCAGCCGACGATCCTTGCGCAGGCTGCGGGTGTCGCATCACCGACCGGTACTACCTCCTGGCCCTCGAGAGGAGGTGGCACACGCCCTGTCTAAGGTGCTGCGAATGCAAGATGCCACTTGATTCGGAGCAGCGCTGTTATGCACGGGACAGCAATATCTTCTGCAAGAATGATTATATCAGGTTAGTGTTTTTTTTTATTGCTTAGATGGGTAGACGAGCTCACAGCCCACCTGGTGTTAAGTGGCTTTTGGAGCCCATGTACATCTATAACGTAAATGCGCCACCCATCTTGAGATATAAGTTCTAAGGTCTCAAGTATAGTTACAACGGCTGCCCTACCCGTCAAACTGAAACGCGTTACTGCTTCACGGCAGAAATAGGCAGGGTGGTGGTACCTACCCGTGCGAACTCACAAGAGGTCCTACCACCAGTAATAATAAAATTAAAGCAGCTTAGAATTAATTTAGATTTTAATTTAGAGGTTTGGACGTTGGTTGTTGAGCGACAGGAGGTTTTAGTCAGTTAGACTCTGACATGCCCCGCCCTCCATCCCCAGTGGAGGGCGGAAGTCCGGCAATTTCCTCCGGACCAAAAAAAAAGCATCAAACCTGTCAAATAATGGTATGTCTATCATAAATTAAAGTGGTAAATTAAGGTCTGACCATACTACTATGACGTATTTATATGTTTCGCTTTGGAAGGTGGGCTAAAGATGTGAGTAGGACATAATGAGAATGGATGTTTAGATTTATTTTTCAAATTCTATAACAGCGTTGTGATATTAACGGTGAGCACTTAACATCGGGTAGGTACTAGGCTCGTTCAATTAATTATAGATACTATACAATTTTAGTTTCTGCCAAAAAATCTAAACGACCCCAATTAAATCCAAACAGCTTACTGAAATGAGATTCAGCTTAGCTTGGCATTCTAATTCGGCTTCTGTGTTACTTCTCTTTAATTGCCAACTTAAAAAAAAATGTTTAATAATATGATCCAAGAAGTTTTGTTGAAAAACACATTTAACCTAATAATAATGTGTGTAACAAGCGTTAAACACGTTTATTTTAGTTTTGTTTAATTTTGAACATTAGTCAGATGATTATTATTATTATTATATTAAGCAATTAATTATTAATAATACGTAATACATTAAATTATTTGGAAACGGACAAAATATATCATTTATTTGTAATGATTATTTATTTGTATGTAATACATAAAAAACGTTAATTTATAGTACATTTATTATGTAGTAGTTTTAGTTCCATTTTTTCCATAGGCGAAGGTATTTTATACAGTAGATAACAGATTAATATTCTATAAATTATAATATGTTATATGAAAAATGTTATGGAGCGAAATGAGGTGAAGTTGATTGAATTTAATGAAACGAGATGAAATAAAGATCGATGGGCTCTAATAGCATCTTGCAATTGCTTATTTGTATGTATATGGTGTTCAAAATTGGCATTGAATTTGAAGATAACACGAATAAAAAAAAGCATGAGAGCATTTTAATGTTAGAATAATCAAGTACGGAGTCGTTTAAATTTTCCGCAATACCCATGCGTTGTACATATTTGTCCTTCGAACCACATTACTGTGGCATTTCAAACCGAGACTTAGGCCACCTAAGACGCTCTAATGAGTGACGAAGCGGCAAAGCATCCAATACGCTCGCATGAAGTATCTGATACAAGAGAGCCCACCGACCGCGGGTAAGACTAAGATATATATGTTGATTAAAAAAATAAAATATAAAATTTACCCTTTTCGTTCTTCTGTGAGCGTGGCTCGAAAAAAGGGGGAAGTTCTTGAGCTTCCTTTGTCATAATAAAGTATACATATACGAGTGGGGGGGGGTGCACTCCGCTTGGTACTCATATTTGTATGGAACGTTTGCCTACATTTGCCACTAGGGGTGCTGTTCTAACTGCATACAAATTTGAGTTAACTTGTACATTATCGAGAATATTAAAAAATTCGCACTAAGCACATTGAATCAGTAACTCCTTTTTTTTACTTAAGGTTCGGAAAAAAACTAAGTTATGTCACTAGATTTAATATTCACACATCGTTTTCTGGGTGGCGGTACTTTTTGTAATCACGTAGGTAAAGGGACAGACGAATTCAATATGTTCTGGTAATTAATGCTTAGATGCTACGGCCTTATGTGATCTCCCTTCTTTATCTAGTAGAACTTCGGTCTCGATGGGTAGCGTTCACTCGAGCAACGAGCCCGAAGGAGTTTACCTCGTCTAATCTTTCTAATGAAATACGTACATACTTAACGAATGTTCACGATTGACTTCCACGGTGAAGGAATAACATTGCGTAATAAAAATCAAACCCGCAAAATTATAATTTGCGTAATTACTGGTGGTAGGACATCTTGTGAGTCCGCACGGGTAGGTACCACCACCCTGTCTATTTCTGCCGTGAAGCAGTAATGCGTTTCGGTTTGAAGGATGGGGCAGGCAGCCCTTGTAACTATACTGAGACCTTAGAACTCATATCTCAAGGTGGGTGGTGATATTTACGTTAGCTTAACACCAGGTGGGCTGTGAGCTCGTCCACCCGTCTACGCAATAAAAAATAAATAATAAAAACGTGTTCGACTTCCACTCTGTGGCTCTAAAACTTGGAGAGGCGTTCGCAATGCTCATAAGAAGTTCTACTTGGTTTTGGGTAGTATCGATCACCACATAAGGCACCGGCGTCGAAACGGGAGATCAAAGTCTATTGTATTAGAATTATCAATTATTTATTCGTAATGTACCGTATTAATATTAAACTTGTTTATTTGTGATAATTCAAGTGATAATTATATAGGTATTATTAATTGAATGCATTACGTCACTGGACACGGTTCGCTTCGTCGAGGATCTTAAAGACCGTAATTACAATATCACCAGCTTGTTAATAATCAGTTAATTAAATATTTGCACTTGTAATTTCTTTATATAGTTCGAATGCTTTTTTCCCCTGCAATTAATCTTTTTTTGTGTTGTGGTTCATTAAAACTGCGCTGGCGTCGAAGTTCGATACGTTGGTTGATTTATTTGCGACTTTTTCGAGTTATCACTAGCTCTTTACTTAAATATGTATAGTATTAAGTATAGTTTTAAACCGGCGTTAAACGGAATAAAATTAAAATACCCCGATTTCATCATAGGATAACCTGATTAGGATATTAAGCCAAAATAAAGTTATGGTGTTATCCATCCATGAGGCGTGTGCAAATTTTTAATTTAATTGGACGACTTGAATTAGAGAGAGAGAGAGAATACACTTTATTGCACACCAACACAATTTACATTAAAAAAAACAGTCAAAAAGGACATAAATTTGTACAATAGGCGAATGAATTACTTGAATATTACATGGAAAGATGCTTGTAAATGGATAGATATTTATAAATAGGTCAAAAAGCGTTTTAAATATTATTATCTTGTTTCCTTACGAAGACATTAATCGTAAATTCATTTATGCAGATATATTTTACATAATTATGATTTTGACCATTTATATATTGAGATAGCAAATGCTTGATTTTTTTTTTTCAAATTAGCCATTGTTTTTAAATCACTTAGAAGCTATGCGTTTTTATGCGTAAGGATAGTTGGAGGAGATGGAAAAATGGAAACAACACGACTTTATTTTTGAAAATATAGTAACTGGTGGTAGGACTTCTTGTGAGTCTGTACGGGTAGGTACCACCACCTCGCCTATTTCTACCGTGAAGCAGTAATGCGTTTCGGTTTGAAGGGTGGGGCAGCTGTACGTACGTACTGTACTGAGACCTTAGAACTTATATCTCAAGGTGGGTGGCGCATTTACGTTGTAGATGTCTATGGGCTCCGGTAATCACTTAATACCAGGTAAGCTGTGAGCTCGTCCACCCATCTAAGTACTAAAAAAAATGTTTTTAATTTCAGAAAACATAACTTTTTGAGAAGTTATTTCAATTTAGTTGAAATCTCTAAATTAAAAATAAAAGACCTAGGTAATACTATAAAAGAAACTGAAAAATTTACGATTAGGTTCGTAAAATTAAGTGGTTTATTTATAATTTTTTTTTTAAGTAATATATAAATAAATAAATATTTACTAACAATCACGCCACGTTAACTGGTCCCGTGATAAGTTCGTAAAGAACTTGTGTTACAGGTACCAGATAACGGAAATAAATGTAAGGTTTTTTATTATACACATACATATATTTAATATACATCCATAGCCCTGGAAAAGACATTTATATTTATCATACAAATATCTTCCCTTGGCGGGATTCGAACCCGCGACCCCCTTGTGTAGTGACCATGTCACTTACCACTACACCAGAAAGCGGTTAATTGAAATGCGTTTGTTCTTATCTCAATTAATTAGGACTGCATATGCCGAATCGATGGATGCGGATGAAAATGGCTGGCGATCGAACATTATAGTATAAAAAAGGGGAGCCTTATGCCCAGCAGTGGTTAATTAAAGCGCATTTGAATAAAAGAATTATAGTCATTAGTAAGACTTATTTTATATACCGAATATGATGTCTGTCTGTTGCGTTAAACGTTAATCCACAGATCATTCTAGAACACTACTCAGAATTAAACAATAAATTACATAAATGTCAGTAGATGATACTAAAAATTTGATGGAAGGAAATGAAACGAATAATTACTATTTAATCGCGTATTACCAATTCAATTTACCGAGTTGCTTTGTATATTAATTCGGTTCGAGAGAACGAAAAAATATATATCATAATAATGCAAAAAACCGTTCGTAACCAAACTCATTCATATACGTAGATACACCTATACTAATCTATACTAATATATAAATCTACAGTGGTTTTTACGGATGTTCCGTTATAACTACTGAAGCATACATCCGATTGACTTGAAACTTGGAATCCATGTAGAAAATACATGTACTTAATGTATAGGCTAATATTTCTATGAGTGTTGGACTCCCTAATAATAATGACAATAAATAATGTTAATTTTAAAGGCGCAGCGAAGCGGGCGAGTACGGCTAGTACATTATAAAAATAATGACTGTTTTGTATTAACGTTGAATGAATCTTACGAAATGTTTCATGAATTATCATCATTGTTCAAAATTTGCATAGTCGGTTTGTGTATCGACAGTGTGTTCATCGTTGTTAACAATTT